TCTCATTCCCCCATTATTCCCACTCCATGGGCACTTACCTGCTGGACTTATCTGGAAACCTATAACTTCTGAGTCATTATAGGAAGGAATGTTGAAACAGCATTGTGCGGAAGTGAGTTACTGCTGAAAGGTTACCATTTTGCCTCCCATCACACACACCTTACCGTACTCAGTAGAAAGTGTTCGAGCATATATCAATGTGTATGTTTATAAATTACATGCATGAATACTGTACTATTAAGCTTAATATAAAACAATATAATACAAATAGAATTTTAAAAGAATGGGCTAAAAATAGACATTGAAGTTCTGATATTTTCTTCTTGTACCTCAATAGATTGCTCCATCTGGAGCCCACTGCACTACAGCTCTACTACCTTCCGGAAGCATCTTAGGTAGGTCTCCAGACAGGTTTGGTCCTAATAACTGCAGCATCCTGCTACCATTTTTGAAAACGTGAAGGTAGCAAAAAGGCACTACTTGAGGGTTTTAAAGTTGCCTATGAAGACTCTTATGCCCTCTGCTCTACCTCCATTTATAGCAAAGAAGAAAGCAGCAAAAACAAAATTTGGCAAACATACTAAATAGATGAATACATTCTAGAGATCTGCTATACATATTGTGCCTGTAGTTAACAGTAATGCATTGTACACAAATATTTGTGAACAGGGTAGATCTCATGTTAAATGTTCTTCCCACAATAAAATAAAATAAAATAAAATAAACATTTATTATCTGGCCTGCTATTCTACAGTTCTGGGTTTATGTGTACAATATTCATACCCATATTTTTAAGAAACCTAATAACAGCATTTTCTATCATATGGCTTTCCCACTACCTTTCCTTTCATTGAAAGGAATACCCAACAGCAACACAATCTTTGTGTTTTATTAATGCAATAACGCTGTTCATTATTAAATACAGATTTTCTAAATTATTAATACCTTAGCTGTTGTGCAAAGTTTAACTGAGGCTTGTCAAAACCAGAGAAGTATGAAAACAAATTCAAATTTGGTAGTGATTATTGCTTGAGATGAAACGATAGCATAAATACCTAAAAACAAGTCTAATTTCAGTTAATAAATGAAGTATTTTTACATTTATATTTGTTACAAAGGTAAATTTTCAAGGAAAACAATTCTTTACAACAATTACACTGCTCACTGCAAACCCACAAAAAGAAAATTCCAAGGAATTTTTAGTAGAGAAATTCCAAAAACATTTGCCTAAGTGCTTGAAATTTTTCAAAATGGAAATAGCTCTTTTTTGATTGTTGTAAAAATTTTATAAAGATAGAGAAAACATAAAAGTTTCTATGTAATCCTATCTTTCTAGAGATAACACTGTTAATGACTTGGTATAGATCCTTTCAGGTTTTTTAATATCCACATAAACATGTAAAATATTTTTTCCTAAATGAGACCATATTATACATACTGTTCTATGTATTTTTTTTTCTCTCACTTAGAAATAAATCTGAACCTCTTTCCATGCCAATATATAACCACCTATATCATTCTATCAGATCCATGTAAACGCTGCCTGGCAACACATCTCACAAACATTCATAATTTAGTCAACCCCCAAATGATGGGCTTTTAGGTCATTTTTAATCTCTTATGATTATAAACAGTGATAAAGAGCATACTTTTCTTAAGCCAGAGGGCACTGACTCAAACATTGCATAGACATAGCAGTTCATTAGTTATTGTAATTAAGACAAACTGAAATTCAGATGCATCTTTTTAAAACATCTTTTTTAATAACCTGGGTTTTGGTGTTTTGTAAAAGTATGTTTTGTGGGTTCCTCTTAGTTAAATTTCTATTAAATGAAAAAAATTAAGTGTATGAGATTATAGGTGCTTTTAAAAATTTATTGCTATATGTTTTTATATAATAAACTTAAGAAACTTCTCATTTTACTGCCTTTCGATACGTTTTAAAATCCAAATTTTTCATGATATAGCTATAGCCTTTGACCATTTTCCAGCTAGCTCAGAGCCTCACAACATTGTTGCACTTGTAATATGTCTAATAAACACTTTCCAAGCTACAGACATGAAAAAATAATGCCATTTCAAAACTTCCCCCAAAACAATCTCGATTTTTTTCAACACTTTAGTTCAGAGAAACTTAATGGAAAACCTTTAAATTCTACATACTGGAAACCACACATAAGTTACTACAGTCATGTGCCACACAACGATGTTTTGGTGAACTACAGATGGCATATGCAACAGTGGTCCCATAAGATTATAACCGCGCTGAACAATTCTTATTACCTAATAATGTTGTAGCCATCATAATCTCATAATGTAATGCACTACTCACGTGTTTTTGGTGATGTTGGGGTAAACAAACCTACTATGCTACCACTCATATAAAAGTATAGCACATACACTTATGTACAGTATATAGCATTTGATAATGATAATAAACCACCATGTTACTAGTTTCTGTATTTACTATATTATACTTTTTATCATTATTTTAGGGTGTATTCTTTCTACTTATAAAATAAAGTTTGCCATAAAACAGTATGCTGTATTACACCAGTGGTGGCTGTCTCACGGGTCCTGTGTTTTCCATGTTTCCTGATTGCATCATTTTCTCTTGTGCTTGACTTAATCTCATATTATTCTATGCAGTAACATGCAATACAGATTTGTAGCCTAGGAGCGATAGGCTATAACATATGGCCTAGGTGTGTAGTAGGCTACACTACCTTGGTTTGTGTAAGTGCATTCTATGATATTCACAGAACAAAACTGTCTAATAACACATTTCTCAGAACGTATCCCAGTCATTACATGGTGCATCACTGTATTATTTTAATAGTTAAAAATATCACTTTGTCAGCATAGACTAAATCAATCACCATTATACACTATTAAAGGAGAAAACATTACTCAGTTTCCTGTGGTAACTACCTACAAATAGGACATGTTGGCCAAGAATGGATATGAGACTGTTCTGGTATTGCCTTTGCTCTAGAGGGTGGCAACGGCAGTGGAAAACTTGTAAGACAAAGATAATCAATCCAACAGACCTTACCAGATAAGAAGTCCAGCCTTCCTAATGTAGCCCATGCACATATTTCCTGTGTAACTACAGCTAGTCCTTCTTATCCATGAGTTCTACATCTGCAGATTCAACCACCCTTGATCTGAAGATGGTTAAATCCAAGGATATGGAACAAATGGGTATGGAGGGCCAAATAAGGTACTTGAGAATCTACAAATTTTGTTATCTGAGCGGGGGGGGCGGGCAAGGTGTGATTCCTGGAACCTATCTCCCTTGGACACCAAGGGACAGATGTACTCTGTGCTGAGGACACAATGGTGAACAAAACAAATAAGGTATCTGCTATCATTGAACTTCTTGACATGGATGGCTTAGAAAGAGTTTTTTTTCCAAAACAGAGGTCACCATGTGTTATTCCAGTATCACCTATCTTCATTCATCTTCTCCAACTTTACAATTAGGAGAATACTTCAATATATTTCAGATACCAATTGTTCATTATAAAAATAAAAATAAAGTGCTCGGTTAATACACATTGCAATTATTTAGCCTTTTAGGGTGATTTTTCACCTGAAGTCTAATAAATTTAAAAATAAAAGGGGAAAAGTAAATATAACTAAACTTTTAACCCTTAATATTCTTGACTATTAAACTGGTCTGTAAAATATAAAAATGAGTTCCAATGACCACTTTAAGTTATGAATTTAACATCAAACAACAAATACTCATTACATGCCTTTCTTGTTCTATAGAAGGCATTTTAAAGGGGAATCTTGCATTTGATAAATATTTATAAGTCACCTTAATATTGATCTGAGATCAAGGTGACATTTGACAGAGGGTCTCTTTCACCTTTAAAAGAAGAAAAGCTGGTCCTGTCAGTCAATAATAGTTGCTGAAAAGAAAACAATCTACTAGCTACTACCTAGTTCCTAGTATGTGTATCACCAGAAAATGTGGGCACTCCCTACATGGACTGAGAAGGCTCTTGGCTACAGTAAATCAAAGAGGCATTACCTCCTGTGATATCAAAATAAACATGCTAAGATGAACAAACTGATAGGGATCTATGAATTAATATAATAACAAGTAGACTTTTTTAATTCCTCATATATAATGTGGCAATTTCAAGTACAGCTGCTGTCACAGTCATATATCACTATCAATAAATGTCCATGGTTTTATATGGAAAATTTTATCTTCCTCCTCTTATAATAGGGTTGAAGGGGATAATAAGAAGTTAAGAGCGGGGTTGGGGGGAATGATGTCCAAAGAGTTGAAGATGAGGATAGTGTCAATGTTGAAAGAATATATCATAACACTTCTGAATGTCTAAGCTGGAAGGAAATGAGGAATGGAGAGGGATTCAATTAATAGCCCACAGGGGATATTATAATCTACTTAGTTTAATTAACTTCAACTTTAATGAGATTTTTTTTTCAAAATAATATGAACAGTGCACCAAGCTTGGCTTATTGCCAAACACAATCTCTCCTTCTTTGAACTAATTAAATGAGAAAGGATATAGGAAAGTCACAGAAACAAAAGTATATAATGGCCAAATTATGCTAGTATTATAAAGTATGGTACCTGCATTTTCAGGTTTTATAGATTTAAAAGGTCATGGCAACATTTGCCCTCTCCTTACAGCCTCGTCTAGTCTTCTCTCCTTTGAAAGTCCAGCTCTTGGCCTTGGGCTTGATTTTAGGTACAGATCTCTAGGTTCGGTTTTGAAGTAGTTGATTAGGTTTAAAGTGGCAGATTATTGTTCTAGTAATTATTATTGGCTCCCTGGTTTTAAAGTTAGAAATGTATAAGATCTCAATAGGGCTTCAAAAACAACTCAACATTACCTGGTTGAAACGACTGCTCGAAAAATAAACTTTCACTTAAATGTTCCTTTATTCTTTTTTCCTCTTCTTCCTTTTGTTGTTCTTTTGCAGAAGGGAGAAGAGTAGCCACAACCTCTTTCCTTCCTAAAGCCTTCCTCTGGCTTTGCTCAGAAACTTGGAGACGGAATTTGTCTATTACACCGTAGTGACAGGATCGAACATCTCTGTGACGAATCACACTAAAAGCATTCAAAAATAACAAATACTGTTTAGGTTTCTGGGAGCTTGCCAAACAGAATTCAGCAAGAGATTTCATACATTAAAACAATATTAACTGACTATAACCAAATACTCAAATACAGAAATTTGCTAATGATGTTAAAAAACAAATCACAGTAAAACCCAAAAAGAAATGGCTAATTCTAAAATATTTGATGGAAACGCATACTCTAAAACATACAATAAAAGTCAAGTAAAAAAATTCCTTTGGGCAATGGCATTTTTTCTGGATATCTGTATACAACAATATTTACTAAATAAGATACATGAAATTGTTTCTTCCCCACAGAAGTCTCATAAATTTCTATTGCCGCTTATTGTTTAAGTAATTAATCTTACCCTAGACTTAAAGTCCATGCACACAGGTAAAAATAAGCAATTTCATAAGTAAGTAATCCAGTATGACCAAACCAACAGAAGGCTAACAATACACTTCTGTATCTCTGAAGAGAAAAGAGTATAAAGCACTTGAATTTTTATGAGAGTTATCTGCAATTCCATTTATTTTACTTTGTTCTTAATAGAGAACACAGAACAATTAGGTTAAAGGTATTTATTTGGCAAGAGACTACATTTCTTTGAATTGTTCTTGCTTATTATATACTGAATGAAAATCAAAAGAAATGTGCAAAAATACATCCTCAAAGGTACATCATTTTAAGGCTTTGAGATGATGAAATGTATTCGAAAGAAAAGACTTCTGTTTCTCATTCTCACAGATTTAAACAAATATAGATTAGTTGGTGGCTTGAATTAAGTACTGGTCAATGGGTCCATCTGGTCACTACCAGTTCTGAAGTGAAAATTAAATATGGAAAGCTTTAACAAACAATCATTAATTTGATACTCTAAGATAAAATTATCTGGAAGAGCTCAGATAACCTTTTACAGATGAGTAGTTGCATACTTGCTTCCTGTTTGTATAGCTTAACTTCCAAGCTTATTAAATGAATCATTGCAGATGAACTTATATACCACTGTTCTGAGAATGTAGTATTATTAGTTTCCCAAATGTCACTAAATAGCAAGATGTTCCAAAGAAAGCTAAATTCCCTATTATAGAAAAGTTTGAATGAATAAGTTAGAACTTTAACCTTCATAAATATCCCTGTTATGACTAAAAGCACAACAATGAGGAAATGTTCATGGAAATATTAATACACGCATCGGTCCCAACATCATGAAATATTAAGTATTTGGTCAACCTGTTTAGATCATAGAAACTTCTTAACAAGAATTCTGATAAACTAAAAATTTCAACAAAAATTCAACATGTAATAAATGCCTATGTGGGAACAGCTTTAAGAAAAGACCTTTGCCAAGTTACACACATAAATATTAACACACTTAAAACATGTTACCAGGAAGTGATTGGGAC